CAAGAAGAAAAATACCCATAGATCCACCTATAACTCATGTACAACCAGGCAGACCAAAGAAAGCAAGAAGAAAAAAATTTGATGAGCCTCCTAAAGTTGGGAAATTGGATAGGAAAAGAGTTACGATGATATGTAGCAAATGTGATAACTTTGGCCACAACCAAAGAAGTTGCAAAGGGCCAAATAGTCTACCAAGGTTAGTCCCAAGGGTGGAAAAAATTGTTTCAACTAATGCTACAAATGGCAAAAGACCTAAATTGCTTGTAAGTGGCTAGTACTTATGATACTTAATTATTTGATATGATCACATTTGCCTTCATACTCAATTGTTATATTTCAATGTAGGTAAAAAGATTTAATGCCAATGACCCATCAAGCTCAGTCTCAATTCAATCACAGACATCAAGCTCAGTTCCAATTTAATCATAGCCATCAAGCACAAATGTAGCTTGGTCACATTCAACAGCTCATGGTAATTTTTTTGTGAGGCTAGGGATGTCACAACCTCCACAATCTCATCATCCCAATGAGGGCAAGCCATCCTCATCAAAGGGTCAGAAGATTGTAACATGCATATCACTACAAAAAAAGTTGAAGCAATGAGAAAAAAAGAAAAAGGATGGTGGGCAATCAACTCAATAGTTTGACTGGTGGCTAAGTATTTTGTAAGGTGGGCAAAGTAGACGATGGACATAACTTAGAAGGATATGCAAAATTCTTCAGATGGATGTTATTTGTTTTTGGGTTCCTGGAGTTTTTTATTTTGTACTAGCTCAGTGCAAGTTACCTTGCAACAACAGCTCATGTAACACCCTAACCCGACATATAATATATGTAATTCCTGTTTATTTTTTTTTGTCATACACCTTTCTTTATGTAAAAATAAACATATATAAAAAAAAATACATCAAACCTCTTAGTGGTACGGCCTGCCATGAGCCCTACTTGTTTACTGACCGTAATATTGATCTAAAGAATATGACATCGAATAATACAATTTAAATTTAAAGGACATATAAAAATGAACCCTATGATGACATCCCAATCGACCCTCTAGACTCGACAGTGGACTCTTCATGTCGTTATGATTTTTCCTGAAAAGTCATTAAGACCATTAGTAAAAGCAAAGATGCAATTAATATTTAAGAGCACAATAAGTGATAAAGGAAACTTTATTTATATAGAAACAACCTTAACCACGAATTAGGTATTTACTTTCAAATTACACTTCACCTCATACACATTCGTTTACATCGCCTAGGCATAACCTGTATATATCACATCGACAAAATATACAACACATATATTCACTTCCACATAATTAAATTATTCCTCATAATGAATACTCCACACGCACACAACTAATTGTGTTGTAAACAACAACTGTCACACATGCTAATTTTAGTTGTGCAAATTCTTGTGCCACATAGGCCACATGTATCACAAGCTTGTATCACCTCATAATATCATTTATCAATGGTATAACCCAAACCACATTAATAGTTTTCCTTCAGATGACCCACATCACAGAGAGTTTTTGATCATGTTACTTAGATGACTCTACCACATAATCAAATCCCGTCACATAAACAACTCAAGCCATATAAATACTTCATGTTACTTAGACCACTGAAATCACATAATCCTCTCTCATTATTTAAATGACTCTCGTAATGTACCATGTGTCCCCGATCAATTAATTATTCCTAACAATAACCATAGTAAAAACATATGTTTAAAAGTCTAATAAATTATCACAAAAAATTGTAGGGTAGTGCACCTATGTTGCTAATAATTCGATCTCATAAATGACTTCTTCGTTGTAGCTTTTGGGCAGTGTTCTTTGCAGTGCTCATCCCCGAACCTGGCACCCAATATTCACAATCCCCTTCGAGTATCAATAAATAGTATCGCTTTTACTCGATTTAGTTTACTCGAATCAATTTTCGTAATTTACTTGTGTCACATTCAATTCTTCATCCACAACTAATAATGTTAATTACTTGAATTGATTAAACTAGTAGTTTATAATCAATTCGAGTCACATAAAATAATATATTCATAGCGAGTAAAATTTTCTACTCGAATCCATTACACCCAAAGTAAACTTTTCTCATCAAATTATAGTAACCCAAAATATACTTGATAATTTTCTGTAAAATCATAAATTTGCATGTTTTCTTATAATTACTCATATCCATGAGCTTTCATGAAAATTTAAGAATAATTCACACAATTCCTAATTACCCACCAAACCACCATCTCTTGACCAAAATTTAAGCCACATACAACAATTCCACTATTTTATTTTTCATGCAACAACCTTAACTTCACTTACACACCCACATAAATATTAAGGTAAATTCTTCATACATTAACTAAAATTCATATTCAACATCATACTTTAATATACACACAACACCCAAATACATACAAGATATCATACTTTAAATACATGCAACACTCAAAATATAAATACTAGAGTTGGATTTCTACATCT